GTAAATAAAGGGCATGATGCTGGTTTACTCTGGACACCCGTGGTTCCAAGTAACCAGGTAAACATAAAGCTGTAAATAAAGGGCATGATGCTGGTTTACTCTGGACACCCGTGGTTCCAAGTAACCAGGTAAACATAAAGCTGTAAATAAAGGGCATGATGCCGGTTTACTCTGGACACCCGTGGTTCCAAGTAACCAGGTAAACATAAAGCTGTAAATAAATGGCATGATGCCGGTTTACTCTGGACACCCGTGGTTCCAAGTAACCAGGTAAAATGAAGAGGTAGTTTTATATTTATGTGGAAAAAAGTTTTTATTAATTGTCTTACACATAATTTCTTGAAACTTTTGTTTTGAATGGTAAGCTGCTTTTTTATTGTTATGGTTTCTTAAACCTTTAAACTGTTCATACACGAGACATTTTCATCTCGTACTTCTCAATCACACGAAGGGAAATATGTACGTTTGAAAGTGAAAGATCACCATCTAGTTTACAGCAACAACATGGAAGTATAAAAAGTAAAATGATATTTCTAGTTTTGAATGAAGCAAATTTCTTGAAAATGTAAATTAACCTACGAAATGTGTTCTATGATATTAAGAGGTCATAAAATTGGAGACAATTTTCTTTGACAAATACAGTAATGTTTACTGTTTTAAATAATTATCAAAACTAATTCCCCATACTATTAGCAAGCTTCCACTTTATATATTCAGATAAGGATGATTTAATTATTTATTAAGCATTTCTTTATATAAGATTATATAAAATTCAGTGAGATAAATGTAAATAATTTTTGTTAATACTGATATTTATTTTAACAGTCCCCTTATAAGCTAGTGGGGGACATTTTTGTTGAAAAAACAAACAAACTACCCAATCCAGCTTTTCTTAATTTAAACTGAAATTTTTTGGACATTTTCATTGGTTAAAAAGAAAGCATTTCCTGCACTCTTTTAGCACTGGAGCTATGACAAGTGATTTGAAGTGGTAAGGTGACTGAAATCCATCAGCTCATCACGAGCTTAACAGCCAAGTACAAGAAGCATGGAGTGACAAAAAAAAAAGGCTCTGCTTGAGATTGTAAAACATGGTAGCATGTTAAAAACCAAATATCCTTCAAGGAAACAAACCCCCCAAAACACTTAGAGAACCAACTGAACAACATTATAAATGTCTGTAGGCTTGAAATATAAACTGTTTTAAACTTTAGAAAAGACCACCCACCTAAATGGATAGTTTCGTGTATCAGTTTTATAGTGTACTATAGAAATTAAAGTTAACATTTTTTTTTTTTATTCACAAGTGAATTACATATACAGTTTTTCATTTGTTTGTTTGTTGTTAGACACACAGCTATACAATGGGCTACTTGTGCTCTATACATCACAGGTACTGAAACCTGATGTTGAGTGAAAAGCTCTCAGACTCACTGTAGAGCCAGCTTGAGGGGGGGGGGCATTGCAATTAGTAATTATTTTAATAACATCTATAGTAACCAACAGGAAAAAACAAACAAATTGAATTTATTTTATCAACAGATACTGACAAACTAAGTAACTCATGCACAGAAGGATATCAACAGTTTAATATACACACACAGACACAGAATTTTGTAGTCATATTACAAAGCAGATACGAAACATCTACACATTACTATACTTTCCTCATATGTTAATAATTTATGTGGAGGAGCAGTCATTAAATCCCGGAGTTAAAAATAAAAGGCAAACCTTTGTACAGCGAAGAAAGTGTGCTACTCCCCGTAGCTGGTCCTCGGCTTCTTGGCAAAGACTGCAACCATCACCCTCCATGGTCATGCTGTTCAGCATGATAAAAATGTTTCCTTGGATAACAACAAAGTGAACGGAAGAAACATTGAATGCCCGTTCAAACCTTTCCTTGTGATGTTTTGAAACACTGTTTAATAAACCAAAGATAAATATTAAGCATGATCTTGAAAATAACAAATACTAGAAAAAGGCAAAGAAAAAGGATTTGCTTGCTTCAGAACTTTCACTGAAAGCTACACAAAGGATTTACACATAATCAACCATAATATGGAATTGACAAACATGATAGAAGGGTGCTAATCAAGAACACCCACCTCCATTGAATCCTTAGGTAAACAGTTCTAACCAGGGATCAGCCCAAGGAAACATGGAAGGGTGATGTAAGTATTGTACATTAACAGAAGATGGGGGAAAAAAATGACTAATAATGTGTCAACATAGCATTAGAGAAGAAACCAAGAATCCCAAGTTCTTTCAAAGAAAGGGGGGCTTTCTTTCATCAGGGGTAAATGGGATTTGTCCACTTTTTGAAAGAACTGGAATCTTGCTTCTAATGATCCTGCACGCTTCTGAATATCAGTTGTGTTCAGATACGTATTTGTCAATCACTTTATGAACTGCACATGTATTTCAATAAAGATGCTAATGTTTTGTGGTATGTTCAAACTGTCATAAATAACTCAAGAAACCATCTGATAGAAATGTACAGCAATCATTTCATTAGCTAAATAATTAATACCAACTTCAGATTGGAATAAGCTACCTGCTTAAAACAAAACTAACATTTAACCTGGGATCAGTAAGGACGAAAACTAATTAAGCAAACTTTTCTTATGCTCTTATATATATAAAGATTAGAATGCATAGCTTCACTAGTTGGATATCCTCACTGTAAGTGTCATCTTTAATCATAATCCTTGCTAGTGGTATTAAAAAATCTCTTTTTAGCCCAGTAATTAGAACTTACTCTGAGTTTGTTTTTTTGTACTTTACATGCCACAAAAAAAACTTGCCACAAAACATACACTGTATATTTAGATGATGGATTATTTAATGCCATATAAGCCATGAATTATCGGTAAAACTTAAAACATGTTTATTCATAAAATAGAGAGAAGGCGTGGCCAACTAAAGTCAAGAACTTAAAAAATGTATAAACTGGTTACCTATTCAATCTGCGTGACACTTTATGAAGAACAAAAAAAATTTTAGCATTAAACATTAAAAGATTCTGGAAGGAAGATAAAAAAAATATTACACAAATCTGAGTAAATAAAACAACTCCACCCATATAACTGTTGATATAAGAACAACAAATATGATAGATAACCTAAAAAGGCTAATTGAAGGAAACTAAATAAAGATTCATCCATACCTGTAGTGAAACCCAATATCATGATTTCCAACAACAACGAATCTTCTGGTTTTCTCAGAAGTATAAAATAAACTGTTGTATCTATTGACATAGTAAGTAAACTCCTTGTCACTGCACCAGAGGCCTTCATCGAAAACATCACCTACAAATTCACCAGAAAAAGAAGATGGAAACATTGTCATAAGTGTTCAGAACTGTTGTTGAGAAGAGTACACATAGGAGAGAAAATTTGACTTAAACACAAATTCTTACAACAATTGAAGCAATAAAATTCCATAAAAGTCAAAACTAATGAATGTCAATAGGAAAAAAAGACATTAAGAGGCATTACAAAGATGAAAAAGGAGGAGACAGGAGTGAAAAAAACAAACAAACTTAAATAGATAAGAAAAGTTCTAACATCTAAAAGATAACAGACGTACTTTTTAAATATCAATAGGGACTACAGACAGACACCGAGTTAAATTATTTCAACCATTTACTGATCTCAATTTACCTTTACAACTAAGTACTTAAAGATTATTGTAATACTATATTTTCATGCAGTCTATTTCAAATTTCAAAATGAATAACTGATATAATAACAAGGTATGTTTTCTTACTTTTCTTTCTTTTTTTTTTAGTTATTAGAACCATTTCTGATTACAATTTGTAGCATTTTGTTTGGCTTCCATAAAAAAAACTGCTTATGGAATAATGATTTTGCTTTCATTTTAAATTAAAGAAAAATCACCAAAATTACGTTTTAACACTTGAAAAGTAATTTGCAAACAAAGATCACAAACACAGTCATATTCAGTATATTTCTTTACGCTCATTTATTTAGCTTTGATGGCTTCATGATGGTATTACATTGAATATCTATCTGAAAGTCTGTTGTCCAAGTTTATGCCCGATTAAATGTCTTTCCACAGATGTTAGGTGTGCTATTCAACACTCCATGTACTAAAACGTAATAAATATCAACTTGCACTATTTTTCTGTGACAGGACTACTTTAATGAATGGAGGAATTGCATAATTAATTATTCATAGAATTTAGTAATATTACATGAAACTGTCAGATACTTGTATACACACAGAAGAACTGAAAAACCATACCATCAGATGAGCAAGTTTGAAATTTTTGTATCTTTAAGTAATATTTTAATTTTTTCTTTATTTTATGAAGAAGGGAAAAATAAAATAATTCAAATTGTACACAGTTATATCATTTTGAAATAAAAACAAAAGGCACAGACTCAGATATTTTGTCTACATGTTGTCCCCACACTTCATAAAAACAAGGTGTAAAAAATGAGCTAGTTTGACTACCAATTTTGAGCTTGGGCTACCGTGAATTTCATACACATTAACCTGGGGATAAGAGTTGTTCTGCTTACATGAAATGTGTGCATGTATGTTTATTTAAGTACAAAAAAAGTTCAATGGACTATCTGTGCTGTGCCCACCATCAGTGTTAAAATCTGGTTTTTTTACAAATCCTCAGACTTACTGCTGAATGCATGTATGTAGGATTCAACTCTGTATTTAATTACTAGCATTATAAATAACACGTATGTAGGAATCAACTCTGTATTTAATTACTAGCATTTATAAATAACACTATCACGGAAGAATGGTAGTACATTTATTGACAACAGGCTAACCAATCGTAAGCATGGCAATTACCAACTTGTAAATTGAAAAGTTTAATTATTTAGTTTCATATTTATAACACTTTCTAATTTACATGATCATTTTTCACTGGGATTAGAAAAGTTATTTGTTAACGTAAAGTCTTAATGATACGAGATGAAATATCTACGTTTAGGCAAAATGATTTGGACAGCCCACAAAAAAACCCCATGGTCTATTTTCTAGGCACAACACAAGATAAAGTATCTTCAAAATGATAGATTGCTGTGTGGTTTTGTCGTATATGACTAGATAACTCGTCCAGATGTTTCAAATTTTTATATATTTTAAATTAAGTCACATTATTTTCATCACGTCAGGAAAACCAGGCCATTACATACATACATAGAATGGTTAATCTACACACAGATTTTACATCAGATATACTGTAGTATATTACATTACTTTTTAGTTTTGTAACACGGTAGAAGAATAGAGTTATGAATGTTTTTGTAATGTGTAATAATTTAGCCATTATATTGAAACAAAAAAATTGGGTAGT